ATAGGTAGGAGAAGCTTCTATATAAACTGAATTATTAGCAACACATACGGTGTTCGACATTAAACACAAATACCATCACCATGGGACAAGATAGTATGGGTGATCACCTTTTTGTTATGAGATTTTTATTGTTCCAGAGTTGTAGAGTATTCCGTCAAAAACACATTTGGGATTGCATAGAATGACACAATGCACCCTTAAAAATTAAAGAGGTTTTAAAACAAAAAGTGTCACATTCATACTAAAAAGGATGCAACACACAATCAGCGTGTATCAACAAAGAGCTAAGAAACAAAAGCTGTGAATAAAAATGACTATCTTTTGTCATCCTTTTTTTATAGCAATAGATTTCTCGATTGAATATATGCTTTTAAGTAGTTTTAAAAGTATTTCTTTTTTCGGTTTGATTCGTTTGATTCCACATACATGAATATGCCTTTTTCCCTATCAAAGTAAATTATTGATTGAAGTATAAGAGTAGTGAGAACCAAACCAAATAAGATATTTTTTCAATTTATTTTTTTGTGAAAGATAAATATTGAGCCAGAGTTCGAGATCATTTTTAGTTTTATTACATTCCCAAAAGACTTGACTGATGTCCTCATTGACAGCATTACAAAAGCTACATACACTGTAACTGTTGTCTACAAGATTCATTGTCCTTCTTTGTGTAGACAATTCCATGTAGAAATCCGTATTGAAAATCTACAGGCTTTACTTCTTTCAGTTTACATCTATAAACACTAAATATTTTTTTCCAATCAAACTCACAATAAAAAATTGATTGCCATTTATCACGAACATTAAGATTATATTCATTGGATGATCACCTTCTTTATAACAATGGAAGCGACGTTTTGATGAAACACGCGATTCGTTCATATTACTAAATTGATCTGCCATTGGTGTATACTACTCAAAGCCGTTAAAGAAAACCCAATTCTTTCATATTACCATAGTTAATCTGTCATGCAACGACAGATGGACTACAGTAATATGAAAGAAGCGGGAGTTCTTTAGCTTCTTTGAGTAGTACACATCATAACACCGTTATCAGCTAGCGTCGCGTGAATACGATGTAAGCATCTACACCATTGTACAACATTGGTACAGTTGTAATAAAGAAGATCATCAGAACGGTTGTCAATAGTTACTTCAACTTCAAAATGCAACCCAAAGGTATTGAAGACCGTCACTGCTGCATACATGGTTGACATGGCCGATATCTAGGCTCGGAATTTACTTCACTGCGGAGGTGAGGTCACTCGTTGGTATAAGCCCACTATCACACGTTTCACCAATGAATATGAGGTGAGGTGAATGGGGTTTAACATCGCGTCCAAGGTTATTGCACTTATATAGCGACGTTCATGCACGTGTGTGTGTGTGCGTGTGTGTGCGTGCGTGCGTGCGTGCGTGTGTGTGGCTGCTTGTGCTAGTCCAGACTAATGCCGATACCATAGTGGTAGCGATTTTATAGTGAGATACCATGCCGCAGTTTAACATGAATACCCCACTCAGACACAGGATACTGACTCCGAGCTGACCAGTCCTTGTTTTAACCCCTTCATGCCGAGCGCCAGACAGGGTAACATCAAGTACCATCTTTTTACGTCTTTTGGTATGACGCGGCCCGGACCTTCGCTCTCAAGGCGGACGCTCTACCACTAGACCACGGAGGCGGTCCTATGAATATAACATACCATGGGTCTTTGCATGTGACACACCCCAATACAAGGGGAACTTTTCATGGCATATTACGCAGCGATTCTGCGTACGATAATCCCACCATAATCGAAAAAGAACAAAAGAGAAAAATATATTCCCTCTCCTTTTTTATTTTCAGTTGGTCTTAAATTCGACTTTATGACAATGTATAATCATGATCACAATGAGTCTTTCCAACATCTCTCAATAATCACCAGCAACTGTATGCGTAAATCTAACTAGCCATGTAAAACCCCTTCGTATGAAATGAATAAATAAAAAGAATATACATTTGATATGAAATTGGTGTAAATTCTTGATAAAATGGGACCAGCAGTTTCATGGGGGTCATCTCAAAAGCTGTAACATGTTTTTCCACATACATTATCGAACCCGAAAAGGTTGGACGATGCATCATCTTAAACAGTGAAGCGTTGTAAATCCGGGTTCCCAGTAACTGGACAATTAGTTTGTCAACCTGTATACAAACGACATAACATCGAAACAGTTATTCGCTAATACGGAAATGGGATAATCTAGCGAAGTTCAATGGTCCCGATTAACGGTCCCTCTGTATCTTACGCTGCTCGCATGAACAATACGAAATAATCGATTTTCTGCTTAAAATGTTCAAATTTGGAACATGCAGACTTTGGATATGACCCCCTTCGTGGACGGACTTTACGTTCATATTTACATAACTGTCAAATACAACAGTATGGCCGTATATGTGATTTCATTTTCAAAACAATCAACAAATCCATAACAGCATGATAGATCTATTTCTCTCCTACCTGCAACGTTTGAAAACAAACAACCGGATTACAAAAGCGAAACTATAACATTCATTACATAAATAGGTGAACCATGACACCAATATTTGACGCCATCATACATGAGAAAAATATATATTTTGTGGTAAAATAGCTGTCTTTAAGTAGAAGTGATGCTCGTGGGTTTCAGCAAACGTAAACATCTGAGACCTGCATCACTTCGGGCTTTCCTCCCACATCAAGCTGACACGCCGTGATATAACTGGAATACTGTTCAAAGCGGCTTTAAACCCAACTCACTCACTCGTAGAAGTGCCCCGGTACACGTGCCATAACCAGGGAATCTACATACGATTTGAGACTTTCTGTCAAATTCGACCATGTTTCCACATGTTCTAATGCAACACGAGCTATCATTGAGGTATATCGCGGACAGGAATCTTAGTACTTTACTTACAATCTTACTAATCTTATCAACAAAAACAACTTGGTTTCTTGCAGTTACGACAATGCTAATTTCATGTCTAGAGTAGCCTATTTTTGCTTCGAAATCGTAGCTATGTACTGCTGAGCTAACACTATGCGACATCAACTTGTTGCTAATATATATACCATATATTCTATTTGACGTGTATAGTACATTGTTTGTCACAAAACACGTGAAATCACACATCAAGTCCTTTAAACGTTATGTTGACATAGGTATCGATTATTTCGTCCATCGTCTACACGTATCAACACAAAATCACCAGTCTTTCAAATGAAAAGCTCGCGGTGTAAGGGAGGTAACTCCTAAATGGGAAACCTGGTGTTGCTTGTGCATCTGTTTGAGTTATTAAAATGTACAGAAGAATATACAAAGTTTGTCAAAGATTCATTTCACAGGACTCTAGTGGCAACTGAAAGTTAGAATTTGCCTCATAAATACTGGGATATATTTTACATATGAACCACAGTGGTCCAGTCAACACCCATAGATAATTCTCCACTGCCAACAATGTGTTGGATGAGAAATTGAGGGGTGGGTGCGCGTGGGGTAGGCCAATGCCCCACACCCAACACTGTGTTGGATGACAAATTGAGGGGTGGGTGCGCGTGGGGTAGGCCAATGCCCCACACCCAACACTGTGTTGGATGACAGATTGAGGGGTGGGGGCGTGGGGGGGAGGCCAATGCCCCACACCCAACACTGTGTTGGATGACAGATTGAGGGGTGGGGGCGTGGGGGGTAGGCCAATGCCCCACACCCAACAATGTGTGAGGTGACAGATTTTATTTTAATTTTTTTTCGGGGGGGAGGGGGGGGGGGGGAGGTAGGGGAGTAAATAAACAGAGTGTGTTATTTTTTTCATGCCAACACCCCCCTCCCCCACCTATAAATGACCAGTCCCTTATTTGAAAAAAACTCAACACATAATAACATCAATTACTCTTGGAAAAAATAGCTTCGTAGACAGGGACAAAGGGAGATAACTCTATTACAATTACAGTATGACTTGAATTCTCAAAAAGTTAAGCATATCTCATTTCCTTGATGAATACATTCTCAAAATAAAACTGCTCACACCAGCATTTACAACTATGGGATAGGAATAATAGACATATCCCTAAACAAATTATCATGCTTCTACAGGCCTATACTCTTGTATACATACTTTGGCACACACACTAAAACAACTTCACTTTGTACAAATAACAAATCTTGAAAAGACACTGCTCATACTCACAATTTTTTAACAAATTATTTTGACATGAGCATTCTTGAAGTAAATAATAAAATAATATAATATTTCAATTTTTCCAACATGATAAATTGATAATGTAAATGTTTTCAAGAAATTAATGGCAAAAGTTTTGAGGTACATTCTCGAGAAATTTAGTTTAAATGTATGGCCTTCCTTCTGCTGTTGTTAATGTTGTCATGGGAAAATATGGTTGTACGAAATGCTCTACATTAATGTTAGAGGACGAGGATGAGGATGTTAGAGGACGAGGACGGACAACAGTAATGGTGGGATCACTGGTGACAATGACGATCATGTGACTATAAACTCAGCAGTAATAACTTTGGATCACTTGTAATAACATTAATATACGTAATGTATGACATATATATTTAATAGAATAACACTTGTATATAAAACAAGAAATCACGAAGTGCAAGATTTCAGATAAAGTATAACATGGATGTTATGTTTGTTATGTTTGAGGCTGTGCAAGCCAAAAGATAGATAGTTGACAGTGTTTCATTAGACTTTCGATAACATTGATTGACATAATAACATGGAAAATAGAATAATATTAACCATTAATTTTTTCATCAGTTTTCATCCAAAATACACCCTGATTGAAGAGGCAGTTAAGTATCCATTCACACATGTATATATTGGGAAATAACTTTTTGTTTGTTTGTTGTTTAACGCTGCACTCAGCAATATTCCAGCTATATGACGGCAGTGTAAATAATCGAGTCTGAAACAGACAATCCAGTGATTGACATCATGAGCACTGATCCATGCAATTGGGATACGATGACATGCATCAACCAAGTCAGCGAACCTGACCACCCGATCCCGTAAGTCGCCTCTCGAGATAAGCTTAGTCGCCTTTAATGTTAAGCATGGATTGCTGAAGACCTATTCTACTGGATTATTCTGGGGTCCGTCATTCAACACCATAAGAATTTCCCAAGCCTGCTGAATCTAGGACTTGTTAGGCTTTGTTACAATGTTGAGTGAGTGTGTCAAGATTTAACGTCACATCGGCAGTATTTTAGCCATATCGTGCCCCCTACAATATTGAATAAGTCAAAGACATATCTGTGTACTGTAGGACTGTAAAGGTACCTATCAACATACTTCAACACTATTGCAACAGAACCCCAAAAGTGTGTTGAACTAAATACTATTGCAGGAGCCAAAACAACCTCAATTGTCCCCCAATAAACTGTGCATTCTGTTGATGTTCTGAATGTCACAGATAGTTTATCCCGTCTATATTGTTTGTATGAACTCAATAGTGTGTGACAAGAAACCCCTTCATTCCCTTAAGTCTCCAGAGACAGCAACTCCCATGTAATCTAGGATGACACGTATCAGTGTTATTTACCCTTGAGAACATACTGACAGAACCAGCAAACTACATTCCCCATGCTTGTAGCACATTTAGTGTGAGTCATTTCCCTCTTCATGTACACAGAACACATACAATGATGTATTTTCGAGGTATTATGTCCATCTTGTACAACTATCGACACTGGATATGTTGTTTGAACCTGTGGATGATGGTGGTGGTGATGATGGTCATGGTTGAGAATCATCATGCCTGTTAGGCACCTGTGTCATTGTGAAGTCAGTCAAAGGGAGACAACTATGTTTCAAGCCCTCCCAATGGGAGACATCATAAGTTGGTCAAAGCAAGATAACAATGTTCCAGGCAAAGGGAGACAACTATGTTTCAAGCCCTCCCAATGGGAGACATCATAAGTTGGTCAAAGCAAGATAACCATGTTCCAGGCAAAGGGAGACAACTATGTTTCAAGCCCTCCCAATGGGAGACATCATAAGTTGGTCAAAGCAAGATAACCATGTTCCAGGCAAAGGGAGACAACTATGTTTCAAGCCCTCCCAATGGGAGACATCATAAGTTGGTCAAAGCAAGATAACCATGTTCCAGGCAAAGGGAGACAACTATGTTTCAAGCCCTCCCAATGGGAGACATCATAAGTTGGTCAAAGCAAGATAACCATGTTCCAGGCAAAGGGAGACAACTATGTTTCAAGCCCTCCCAATGGGAGACATCATAAGTTGGTCAAAGCAAGATAACAATGTTCCAGGCAAAGGGAGACAACTATGTTTCAAGCCCTCCCAATGGGAGACATCATAAGTTGGTCAAAGCAAGATAACAATGTTCCAGGCAAAGGGAGACAAGTATGTTTCAAGCCACCCAATGGATGACAACTATGTTATTAGTTAGTCAAGGACATAACAATTTTCCAAGCTAGGTAAAGAGAGATAACTCGGTTTCAAGCCCCTCAATGGAAGACAATTACGTGGCCATTTTGTCAAAGGGAGATAACTCAAGTGTTCCAAAGAGAGCTTTGTCCAAGCTAGCCAATGAGAGCTATAATGGTTCTGGACAACCAGTAGAAAACTATGTCACATTTATCACAAGTTACTAACAAATATATTCAGTATTCTGTATGACAGTTCAACCTAATTTGTGCCTGCCAGCAGACTTGCACTATGGTAAATTAAAGATAACTTGAAAAGTAATGTGATCACATCAACAATCATGATGCCACAAGATTGATTTTGGTTTTGTTTGTCTGCTTGTTGTTTAACCCTGCACTTAGCAATATTCCAGCAATATGACTGCTGCCTGTAAATAACAGAGACAATCAAGAGATCGCTTTCGTGAGTAAGCAATCAGGGTGTGATGACGTGCAATCAATGAAGTCACTGAGGCCGACCGAGGCTTGGTCACCCCTAATGACCGGCATGGTTGCTGGGGACCTATTCTAACACAGTCCCCTCCCCACAGGGTTGATTTTCTGACAAGTTTGAGGCATCCATACTGGTACTTCAGTAAAAGATGACATGCAGACATATAGGTGTAGTCGAGATGCACTTGAAGATGTGACTGTCTGAAGATGATAATGATGGTTTTGCTGTAGTTGTGTATGGCTGCTTCTATGAGATTTTAGTATTAGATGACACTGCTGTAGCTAGTTGTGTAGGATGTTCTTGATGGTAGAATTTGTATCTCCACTAGAACTTCTCCGAGATAGAACCTTCCCTGCGTAGTTAGTCTCACTCTCCTTCATCTCGGTCGCCTTCTTGTACAGCTTGGCTGCCGTCTCAAAGTCTTTCTGTGAAGCAGAACAGTTCTCATTCAGCATATATAACACAAAACGTAACACTAGTGAGACTTTGGGTGAGGGGGTTTAATGCCACTGTTGAAGGGTATTTCTATTACTTAACAGTGTGTCAGACTCATTAGGGAGGAGAGTCCACAATACTGTTGCAGTTCACTGACATTCACAGCTTTATTGAAACCCCAGGACATGTATTGTGAGGACCAAGGATCACAATCAGGTCAAATCTTGGATTTGACCCCAACACAAGTAGATCCTGTCATGGCTAAGGGACACAACTCTGCCCAGCCAGTGGTAGGATATAAACATGAAATGAGTTCTTTAAAGAAGGACACACACGCACGCACGCACGCACGCCATATCTGTTTTGACTGCCTCCGTGGTCTAGTGGTAGAGATTGCCCGGAGAGCCGAAGGTAGAGGGTTCGATCCCAAGCCGCGTCATAACAAAGACGTTAAAAAATGGTACTTTTTGTTACCCTGCCTGGCATAAAAATATTCAGTTATAAAAATGCCGTTTCAACATCATAATTAAAACTGGGCTGAACTGGGATTCGAACCAAAGATCATTGTGTCTTAGCATGGCGATGCTGACCAGTTGGCCACTTGTGCCCGATATGTCACATGACTACAGACGTTTTGGAAACGTAAAGTACATGCGTAAGTATTTCAAGGTTCATTACATCAAAAGAAACCCAGCTGAATATGAAACCCAGCTAAACCTGAGACCACCTCCGTGGTCTGGTGGTAGAGAGGAAGGTCCAGGGTTCGATCCCCGGCCGTGTCATACTAAAAGACGTTAAATGATGGTACTTGTTGTTACCCTGGCGCTTGGCATTAAGAGGCAAAAACCAGGACTGGTCGGCTCAGAGTCAGTATACAGTCAAGTCTCGTTAATCCGACATCGATGGTTGCATATGATTATGTCGGATTAACGAGTATGTTGGATAAACGAAATTAAGTAGTATCAAGGTTTGTGATCGAAAATCGGACAGCTTCCCGATAGATAACGATTCAAACCGTAATAAAAAAATTAAAAATAAATATTCATATTGTTATGTTACATTGTTGGTGGAATATGTTTTGTAATCATGCAACCTCTTAAGTTTAACACAAAACAACTGTTACGGACTGTATGACTTATTCAAAATAATTTAAATGCATAGTCTGGAATGGAAGTTGCAAGTTTGAAACTGGTACCGCAAAGTTTAAGAAAGCTGCTTTCTAAGTGGCTAACATTGACTTCCTGTTAGTCATTTCATTCGTAGGTCATAGTTCGCGAAAGGTTGTTCTGACGTGACCTGTAATGGGATGTCCTCGGTGATAGCGAGAACTTGTATCTGATTTTAATGAGAATGAGGTAATCTTAGCATGTAATAAATCTTTACATAAATGTTTTCTTTATTTAAAGCATTAATTGTTTATTGTTAAGCAAGTTTATCTCTGCAGCCGTTGTAATATGCAGCTACCAGTCGATTCGTCTCACATCAAAACAAGGGGCTGTGTACTCGCGGGCAGATGACCACAGAGTACGCTGATCACTGTGTCGGATTAACGAGACTGATTAATGAGTGATTTTGGTAATTGGTTGCAAATTAGCTGTGTCAGAGTCGGAGTACGAGACTGTCGGATTAACGTGGCTTAATAGTACTGATTTAATCGGTTCTCATCATTAGTATCGGATAAAGCTGATTGTCGAATTAACCAGTGTCAGATTAATGAAACCTGACTGTGACTTACAAACGATAAAAGTGAAGCAATGCAAATATACTCAGGAACCAGTCTCCATCAGAAGGGCCTCACAACACGTGGCTCATTGGTTATGCTCTTGATAGGGCATAGGATTTAATTATGCAGGTATTAGAGTTTATCATGAACATTATGAGATGCGAAAAGGTGCTTGTTGTTACCCTACCTGGCACATAGCATTAGGGTGATAAAACAAGGACTCGCAGTCAGTATGCTGTGTCTGAGCGGGGTATCCATGTTAAACTGTGGCATTGTATCTCAGTGGGCTAGCATTATAAAATCAACATTAGTCAGGACTAGTACAAGCAGCCACACACGTGCATGCAGGTCGCAATATAAGTGCAATAATCTTGGACGCATTGTTAAGCCCCATTTCACCTCACCTTACATATTTGTTTCAGTCTGGACCAGGCAAACCTTTCGTTGAGAGTGTTCAATCAAAACTTTAGGGGTAAGATGACACACTAAGACCCGGGTTGTTGGTTGATTGACCCATGTGGTCAGCCATTAAATACCAAACAATCACTGGATCTGGTCATCTGAGGCAATTTTAAGGAGGCAAAGGGTCCTGGGATATATTCTGCTTTGGATATACCGTATTCGAAGTAATAAGCACCCCGCTCTAATAAGCGCCCACGGCAACATTTGCAAAGATATTGGCTAGTGAACAATCCCAATTAGCACCCCTTCCAATTGATCAATGTACACAAGACTTATTTATTCGCATATAATGCGCACTCGTGTGTTATATGCACCCTTCATTATGGGCATTTAATTCTGGAAAAATATATCTGTAGTACATAAACATTTCAGGCTGTCAGCAAAAACCACGAAATTTATCTTTCAACTCTGTTTTTTTCACCAAAATAACATTCTAATAAGAGCCCCCTATTTCTAATTTTGAGAGCGCCCTGGGCGCTTATTACGTCGAATATGGTAAATGATATCTGGGGTTCGATAGAAATATCCCAGGCAAGATACTACTACTCACCATTTCATACTTCATAACTGCAAGATTGCGCAGGGTCTCGGCAACGGTGGGATGACTCGGGCCGAAGCTTTCCTCATAGATCTTCAGCGCTCTTTCATACAGGGGTTCCGCCTCACTGAACTTGTTCTGGGCAAACAGAGAGTGTGCAACTGTGAAGTATTGAATAGATACCTTTCAGGAAACAGTCAAATGTAACCAAAGTAAGCAAGTTTACCTCGCCTATGGAGAGTACAGACTACAAGACATTGACATTAACTCACCTGTTAATAGAACAAACAAAGGATAGGCCAATATAGTTTAATTCACCTGTTGAGAGAACAGGACATCTTGGATAACTCATCTGTTGAGAGTACACCTAGGTAACTCACCTGTTGAGAGTACAGCCAGGTAACTCACCTGTTGAGAGTACAGGACAGCCAGGTTAACGAGGGCAGTTGCCACAGATGGATGATGTGGACCAAAAGACTTCTCCCTGATGTCCACAGCCTGCTTATACAGTGGCTCTGCCTTCTCATTCTTGCCCTGTGAACACCCACCCAGAACACCTGTCACATACTCTCAGTCTAACTTGAAACATTTATTTGATTTGAAAAGGGTCTTTCTGATTTATATTAGTTAACCTTGATCCTGAAGCTTAATGTAAAGCCTTAAGCACTGCAAGGTACTGTACTGGAAATGCTACATTTCAGACTTCAATCACATACATTCATAAATGTGTAAAACATACCCCTTGCATTATTCTTGTCCAAAATAGATAAAAGTACTGTATTCGACGTAATAACGCCCAGGGTGCTCTTAAAATTAGAAATAGGGGGCTCTTATTAGAATAATATTTTGGTGAAAAAATCAGAGTTAAAAGATCGCAGATTTCGTGGTTTATGCTGACAGCCTGAAATGTTTATATATGACAGATATATTTTTCCAGGACTTAAATGCCCATAATTAAGGGTACATATAACACACGAGTGCGTATTATACGCGAATAAAAAAGTCTTGTATACATTGATCAATCGGAAGGGGTGCTAATTGAGATTGTTCACTAGCCAATATATTAGCAAATATCACCGTGGGCGCTTATTAGAGCGGGGCACTTATTACGTCGAATACGGTACACTAATAACATTTAACAATCCACCGAAAAAAATGGCAGTGCATTAATAAAATTATGAAAGACATTGACTTATGAAACGATAACCATAATCAGATTTCTGTCAACATAGTGAGAATAACAATACTTCTCACTGGGAATCCAAACGTTTGTTGGTTTGTTGCCTAATTCCACACGGTGATTGATGTTATGAGCAATTATCCACGAGGTCAATGAGACAAAATCAACCAAGTCACCGAGTCTAGCCACCCGATATCTATATGGCCCTCATACGACCATCTTCCCGAAGCAAGAGAGTTAACTGACTATAAAAGTCCAGTTTCCACCCTTGCCGAACTAGGCTGGTATAATGGAGTTACATTTTGGCTGGTCTAACGAGTCTATGCATAGTCCAATCAAAATCGCGCACCGAAATCGAAATCCGGTTCGTAAAGTGTCATGCAGATTTTGGTCGACTGCAGGATTTGCAAAGCATGTGCACCGCTAACTCGTTGTCAACAGATATTTTCGAAATCTTTTCATGCTTTTAATCAAGGTGCTCACGTGATTTGATGCACTTCGCGATGTAAGACTCGTTTTATCACAATATAGATCTTGATTATCAATCAGATCGTCTTGACTGGGCACTACCGTTTTGTTTGAAGCAAATGAAAGTGATACGAGAGGTTGAATCTGATTGGTCAATAGGAGAGGCATAGAAAGGACATAACTCGTAATAGCCACTGGTGGCGCTTCGATCGAGCCCAGGAATTCCAGCCTGTTTGGGCAAGGGTGGCAACTGGACTTTTAAAGTCAGTTAACTCTCTTGCCTCGGGACGATGTCATACGACCAGCATAGGTTGCATGTGACCTATTCAACACTAAATGATACTTTATATCCCATAATACGTACCTGTTTCTTGTAGAGCATGGAAAGATTCTTGATGATCCCAGCACAGGCCGGGCTGTCTCCACTCAGGTACTGAAACACATTGTGACAACATGGATGTAATAGTAGGACAGCTATCATCTGTTTTGTATTGATACAATGATTAAACTGTGGTTAAAGCAGTATTGTGGTGGCTTTCCATAAATCATTTGGTCCTCAGTACATAAACTATACAGTCCCAAGTTCATAAACCATCCAGTCCTCAGTGTAAAATTATCTAGATTCAGTCCATAAACTACCAAGTCCTCAGTCCATAAACCATCCAGATTCAGTCCATAAACCATCCAGTTCTCAGTCAAAAACCATCCAGTCCTTAGTCAGTAAACCATCCAGTCCCATGTCCACAATCCATCCAGTCTTCAGTCCATAAACCATCCAGTTCCAAGTCCATAAACCATCCAGTCCCAAGTCCATAAACCATCCAGTCCTCAGTCAATAAACCATCCAGTTTTTAGTCCAAAAAACATCCAGTCCTCAGTCCATAAACCATCCAGTTCCAAGTCCATAAACCATCCAGTCCTCAGTCCATAAACCATCCAGTCCTCAGTCAATAAACCATCCAGTTTTTAGTCCAAAAAACATCCAGTCCTCAGTCCATAAACCATCCAGTTCCAAGTCCATAAACCATCCAGTCCTCATTCCATAAACCATCCAGTTCTCAGTCCACAAAACATCCAGTCCTCAGTCCATAAACCATCTGCTAATTTGAAACTAGTGCCGCAATGCTTCAGAAAGCTGCTTTCTTAGTGGCTAATGTCAACTTCCTGTTAGTAATTTCATTGGTCAGTCAAAGTTCACGAAAGGTCGTTCTGACGTGACCTGTAATGGGATGTCCTCAGCGGTAGCGAGAACTTGTAACCGATTTTAATGAGACTGAGGTAATCTAGGCATGTGATTAATCCTGTTTTGTTTATTTAAAGCAGTAATTGTTTATTGTTAAGCAAGTTTATCTCTGCAGCCGTTGAAATATGCAGCTACTCGCCGACTCTTCAAAACACGGGGCTGTGTACTCGCGGGCAGATGGCCACGAAGTTCGCAGATCACTGTGTCCGATTAACAGGACTGATTAATGAGTGATTTCAGCAATTTGTTGCAAATTAGGTGTGTCAGAGTCGGAGTGCAAGACTGTCGGATTAACGGGTCTAAATAGCACTGATTAAATCGGTTCCCATCATTTGTGTCGGATAAAGCCGATTGTCGGATTAACAAGTGTCGGATTAATGAGACTTGACTGTATATATGGGTAACTCATAATAGCCACTGGTAGCGCTACAATTGAGCCTTGAAATTCAAGACTAGTTTGCAAGGGTGGAAACTGGACTTTTACAGTCCGTTAACACCCTTGGCCTTATCAAACTGTTTCCTGTCATTATACTCACCTACAGTCTGATCTGTAGCGCCCTCTCATACAGCGGCTCGGCCTTATCAAACTGTTTCCTGTCCTTGTACTCACCTTCAGTCTGATCTGTAGCGCCCTCTCATACAGCTGCTCGGCCTTATCAAACTGTTTCCTGTCCTTGTACTCACCTTCAGTCTGATCTGTAGCGCCCTCTCATACAGCGGCTCGGCCTTATCAAACTGTTTCCTGTCAATGTACTCACCTTCAGTCTGATCTGTAGCGCCCTCTCATACAGCGACTCGGCCTTATCAAACTGTTTCCTGTCCTTGTACTCACCTTCAGTCTGATCTGTAGCGCCCTCTCATACAGCGACTCGGCCTTATCCAACTGTTTCCTGTCCTTGTACTCACCTTCAGTCTGATCTGTAGCGCCCTCTCATACAGTGACTCGGCCTTATCAAACTGTTTCCTGTCCTTGTACTCACCTTCAGTCTGATCTGTAGCGCCCTCTCATACAGCTGCTCGGCCTTATCAAACTGTTTCCTCTCCCTGTACTCACCTTCAGTCTGATCTGTAGCGCCCTCTCATACAGCGGCTCGGCCTTATCAAACTGTTTCCTGTCATTGTAGAAGGCTGCCAGGTTGTTGAGGGACTGTGCCAGATCAGCGTGGTCCGGACCCAGCGTTGCTTCTCTCATCTCTAGCGACTTCTTGAAGAATGTTTCAGCAGTACTGAAAATAATACATGTACTATTGAAACGTGTCAAACATTGAATTGAGTGATTTATTTGCTTAATACCATTTTCATCAGTATTTCACCTGTGTCACAGTGTGTCAACTTGATGTGGGGAAAAACCTGAAGTGATGAAGGTCCTAGATATGTACCACTTGGAGAAAACCCATGAGCATTGGTATGGTGCTGACAAACCTAGAAACATAATCAGGACAAAACTGAGATTTCAACCCTAATCTAAGCTTCTGTCACGCCAATGCAACACAACTCACACAGCAGATTTTGCGATAACTTTGATGAGTGACATGGTCCCACTCGATATCGATGACTTGCACGGTTAACTTTTCTTACTATTTTGTGTTATTCAAAACTAGGATGGTAGGTGAGAGAAAAGTGCTTGATCCTAATAAAATTTGCTCGGGATTGGAACTGATCGAAAGTTAAGTCCAGAGGTGAATCCGTTTTGGGCGGGGGGTCATGGGGTTCGAACAACCCCCTTTTGAAATAAATTATAGACCCCAATGACAAACAAATTACCCACATTTCTGGAAATACTTGTGAATCCCCCCCCTGGATATTTCTGTAGTCTTCCTGATCTGGTTGACACCACATTTACTTCAACCCTTTTAAACACACTACATTATGAAATCTTTGTATATTTTACAAACAACAAGATGATTTGAAATGAAAGGTGAACACTCACTCGAAGTTGCTCTGCAGATAGTACAAGACCCCGAGTTCGTTGAGTGTGCGAGCCTGTTCGGGAGAGTCGGAACCCATGGCCAGCTCCTCCAGGTGGAGAGTTCTTCTACGAAGCATGTCAATGCCTCGTGTCTGACCCTGGAAAGTGGAAAATACATCATAACTAGGGCTTCAAATAGTACTCGAGTACTCGAGTTTAGTGGGACTCAAGCCCAGTTTGAAGGACTCCAGTACTTGGCCAAGGGAGATAACTCTAATTTGGTCGACTTTCAATAAGTTAATAGAAACGTGTCTTTATGTAACTTTCTTTTTCACGAGTAATCAATTAAATCAAATAAAAGTGTCAATAGCTTTTCGTTTAGTTATTTTTCGAAACAATACACTTACTTACAACCATTTCATGAGGATATTTCCTGGTTTCAAAAAGTACTTTATTTCTTGTTTAAAAGGGATGTTTTATGAAATTATTAAACTGTCGCAAGCAGTAGACCTATTCATTCTAAATTAGCATCGTAACGTTAATCATTATTAATTCAATATTTTCATAAGATACAACTGGACATCACTTTATTGAATATTAACATTGTGTTACTGCATCTCATTATAATTATCTCTTCAAATGTCGGGAAAACGTCTTATAGAAGTCAACTATAAATTTACAAGCCTAGTAATCTTTCAATGTTTTGTTTTCAATTAAGAAAAAGGTAAATACTGACTTGTGAATTTGTGATAACATTGAAAATGTTACTTTTAACTTATTATCTATATTTTGTCATTTATTGACAATTTCCTTCAGCGCTGGCATCAAATGAGCTTATCTATCATATAAGGTATACCTAAGAAGCCAGCCTGCCAAAATCCAGCCAATCACCAATCCCAACATACATCACGTGACGATCACATGTGCAATTTTCTTTTCATCCTAAACATGGCGTGTGTTACATTGAGATGTAAAAGATTTCTTTTCCCAAGTTGACAATTCATACTTCAATTAAGCTTCAGCAAATCAGCATACAAATTTTAAAGGTATTATATTTGATACGCGATCACATAGGTTTTCTTAGTGATCTACGAGGTCAGTGTGACTCTTTCATTTTGTATACGATAGGATAATTGCCAATTTTATTGAACAGATGTATAATTGCGGGTACTCAAGCACAAGCCGAGTCTTACCCCTCGGGTACTCAAGTCCATATTTTTGGACCCGTTGAAGCCCTAATCATAACACTGATACACTGAACAGGTGTAGACACAGAAGATAGTGCTAGCCAATACAACTGGTATCTCTAGACATTATAAACATCCAGCATTTATTGGAAACCAAGCCTCTATTTCTTCACTGGAGGCTTTGGACTATTTATTATATGGTTTCTGAAAAGGGACCATTCATTTACTATTATACCAGACACGATCTGTATTTAGAGACCTTATTTTTCAAATATGGTTTGGAAGTGACTTCAAATCAGAAAGATAGCAACTACCTTTAAACCTATTTCAGGTAAGTTAAGATTTATTGACATTTTCTATTCGTAAAAAAAACTGACAAAAGTAACTGAAACTGACATAAAATATCCACAATAAACTCAAAAAGTTAGTTTCCAAATTCGTCTTCCTCTACTCAGTCCCAGTGAGAGCGTTATTATCAGTGGCTAGACATTCAGAATGTTCATTGTTCCAAGGAATGTGAACACATTCCATGGGGGGATACAGCTTTTTTGAAAAGGGGGGGGGGGTGCACAATTAAGATCTATTTATTGTGGTAATTTATACAGAAATAAAGATTTTTTTCGCACACCCGCACCCCCCTCTGTATCCGCCCATGCATTCTTTCTGATCATAATCCATGTCTGGAACTGTATGGGAGCATTTACACAAATAATCTTTACAGGCAACGTAAGAAACATGTCAGGCCACCCAGGATCAGGTACTCACTGAATTGACTCTTGGTGTTCTGGCTTTCTTCTTTATGGACATCGCTTGCTTCTTCAAAGGTTCTGCTTGCTCATGCCTGAAACAGTCACAGTCACAATCGCAATCGCAATCGCAATCGCAATCGCAATCGCAGTCGCAGTCGCAATCGCAATCGCAATCGCAGTCGCAGTCACAGTCACAGTCACAATCACAGTCACAGTCACAGTCACAGTCACAATCACAATCACAGTCACAGTCACAGTCACATTCATAAATATTACCAGGAAGCAGACATTGTATATACATAACAATAAACTGTTGGGTTTTTTTTAATACACAGCCTAAATCAAGCTCAAAGTGCTACATTATCATCCCGGATCAATGGGCACTGGAATTTCATTCTCAGCTTCCTGGGGAGTATTCAACAAAAGCAGGCTTATGGGGTGATAAAAGGTTAACAGTCACATTACCATCTTATCCTACCATTCACTGCTGGGTAACCAGCGGCATATTTGGAACATGTCTTGACCTCTTGTTTGAGTGTGGGCAGAAACACTAGAAACTCCCAGGAGACAAACTGGCCAAACATACTCTCCATGACCAACTGTTACTAATGTCTGATTTGTGGTCTGTGTGCTGTACAAAGTGTGTGTGTGTGTGTGTGAGTTTGGTTTAACGCCGCTTTTAACAGTATTCCAGTTATATCACGGCGTGTCAGCTTAATGTGGGAGGAAAGCCCCAAGTGATGCAGGTCTCTGACGTTTACCACTTCGGTGAAACCCACGAGCACGGGTATGGTGCTGACAAACCTAGAAACATAATCAGGGCGAACCGGGATTCGAACCCACAATCATAGCTTTCTGGCATGCCAAAGGGACGCAACTCTGCACAGCGAATCGTGGCGCCTTAGACGACTGGGCCACCCGTGCCCCAGTGCTGTACAAAGGACCACATGCCATATAATGACACATGTACCAATCTACTGAGTCATTGCAATGGTACATGATTAAAAGTGGAGAAAAACATTGTTCTAAACAGACCTTTAAACTTGACCCTGTTTCACAATGCAATCGTAGCACCACGACGATCGTAACTCCCATACTTAAACATAGACTTACAACTGTCTTAGCGCTACAATCATTTTTGTGGAATGAGGTTGTGTATCTTGAATATTTAATCATTCTATAAATCCATACATGTGTGAGTATGGTTTTATGCCGCTTTTAGCAATATTCCAGCAATATCATGGCAGGGGACACCAGCAAATGGGTTTCACACATAGTACCAATGTGGGGAATAGAACCCAGATCTCCTGCATGACAAGCAAACACTTTAACAACACGGCTATCCCACCGGTCCTAAATCCACACATGAATAAAGTACACAAACACACTCATAGTTCACATACAGGCAATGTGGAATTTCCATCTTAGAAATAAGACGTGGAACATTTCAAATGATATGCCACTGGAAATTACACAAGTATAACCCAACGTATTTTAATCAATGATTGATCCGAACAAGCAGACTGCAATCAGTGATAGATGATGATTCGAACGATCCAAACATAAATGACAACACACACCAAACTCACTTTTCTTGTTTTTGATACAGTAGAGCTAACGCATCCAGTTCCTTGGCCAAGAGGTAGTGATCGCTCCCATAAGCATTCTCATAGATCTCCAGGGCCTGTTGGTAGTACGCCTGGGCTGTGCTGAACTTCCCCCACTGAGCGTGGAGACCTGCCAGTTGGTGCAGTGACCTTGCTACTACCGGGTGGTCAGGGTCAAGGGCAGTTTCTCGCACCTCCAGAGCTCGTTGCAGTGCAGGCAGGGCCTGGAGAGACATTATTACAATGACATTATCGGAAAAAGATCACAATCTCCACTGTCAAGGACACAGTATATACAGAGGAACATTAACAAGTTAACATGAGTTGGTACCATAATCAGTGCAAATCTGGGATGTCTACCATAAAGGTTCTACTAAACCAAATCAGAACCAGTTTGGACAGTGCGGTTTTCGTAGGGAGCCTTCAGTGCAGATCGAGAGATATCTGCAGGCTGTGATTGGAGGATATTCTGTTAGATTTTTATGTCTTTCAAATGTACATCCATCCAGTTATTAAAACTGACCATGTTTTTCTATATTTAGTACTGTCTTTTTCAACATGATGACTTATGCTGAATGTGACCACAGCTATTTTCAAGTAGGTGACATTTGGTGCGAAACTGGGGATGGTGTGTTTAGCTTCCTGTACTCGGAAAAGGAGCTGGCTAAGCTAGTCATTTTTTATTTTTTTATTGCTGCTCTAAGGCCAAACCGTGCACACACGTACAGGTAATAGCTGTTGAATGCTTAGTTATTTTTAAAAAAAATATAACGTTACTATAGAAGTCTATGGGAAAACATTTGGTTGTGTGTAACCTAAACAACAGATCCTGGCACTTAGAAGGGGACATAACTCCATGAACTGGTGTACATTTTTAACTTTTCAAGACGTTGTACTTAGAGGCAGTAACTGTGTGTAATTAAGTTCACCATCAACTGCTTGAATAATATGCATCTTAAAATGTGAGTTTTCAGACAAACAATTTGGATTTGAATGACTTCAATCAAATTTCCCAGGGCTGCAAATAACCCCGAGCCCAGTCTCCCTTATAAGGTCATAGCTGGTACAGTGAGTTCCGGTGCGTAATGTCACTAAGGCAACCAGCATCTAAGAAGGACTTTATTTTGTTGCTAAAATCCAAACTCAACAACATTCAAGCCATATGATTGCAGCCTGAAAATATCAAGTCAGAGCCATGCAAACCAATAATTCACATTATAAGCAATGTTCCACACCACTGGAGTAAAATGATGTGCAGTCAACCAAGTCATCGGCCAGAATTCCCAATTCATTATGTTGCCTCATGTGACAAGCAGGGAATCTATTCTAGCCTGTATTGTGCCACGTACCTGCTTGAGCAGCCCGATGTCCTTGAGGAACCTGCCAAGGGTCTCGTACATGTCACCGAGCCAGACCTCCCGATCCATTATGTTGCCTCATGTGACAAGCAGGGAATCTATTCTAGCCTGTATTGATCCACGTACCTGCTTGAGCAGCCCCATGTCCTTGAGGAACCTGCCCAGTGTCTCGTACATGTCCGCAATCCGAGCCGGGGTCAGGAGGCCATCGAAGTGACCTGAAGCTGAACCAACACTCTAGACTGTAGTAGTTCCTCCTTAACACAATATACATGGACCTTCTTAAATCTACCCTTCCTAGTCCTACTAGAACCACATCCCCATCTCAGCCCGGATGACAATTACTTCATAGTAGATTTAAAACTGAATGATAAACTCTACAAAGCAACTCATTATTATCATCATCATCATCATCATTATTATTATTATTATTATCAGAGGACAATCCTGTTTTGATATTTCACACTGCAGTTTGCAACACTCAAGTAATATCACAGCTGCCAGTAGATATTCAAGTCTGAGCCATCCAAACCAGTGGTCGATATTGTGAGCATCAGCCTACAAGGTCAGGGTATGATGACATAAAATTAACCAAGTCTACGAGCCTGACGACCGATACAACTTAGTAGCCTCTTATGAGATATCCTAGGGGCTAATTTTAACCAAGGCCTGGTTGTCGAGAAAATATTTATGTTTGTGCTTTGTGTATTTGTTGTTTGGAACCACAATCAGCAATATTCCAGCTCTATGGCGTTGACCAGTAAATAATGGAGTCTGAACCAGACAATCCAGTGACAGATTTTAAGAGCAACAATCTCTGCCGTCACGCAAACAACCAAGTCACAAAGTCTGACCACTGTCTGGTCACTTCCTACAGCCAGGATATGTTGCTGACCAAGACACGCAAACAACCAAGTCACAAAGTCTGACCAGCGTCTGGTCACTTCCTACACCCAGGATATGTTGCTGACCAAGACACGCAAACAACCAAGTCACAAAGTCTGACCACTGTCTGGTCACTTCCTACACCCAGGATATGTTGCTGACCAAGACACGCAAACAACCAAGTCACAAAGTCTGACCACAGTCTGGTCACTTCCTACACCCAGGATATGTTGCTGACCAAGACACGCAAACAACCAAGTCACAAAGTCTGACCAGCGTCTGGGCACTTCTTACACCCAGGATATGTTGCTGACCAAGACACGCAGACAACCAAGTCACAAAGTCTGACCACTGTCTGGTCACTTCTTACACCCAGGATATGTTGCTGTCGTTGACCCCTAAAAAGAACACATGACCCTCTATTTTTGCAAAATACACATTGTTCCTTGACCCAAATTTTTTAACACCAAACTTATATTCGCAAGCAAATATGAAGCTGAACTATTTGTCTACAGAGAAGCGATCATCAAAGTTTGAATATTTTCACTTACTTTCTTCTAATTTTTTAGTGGCTGTAAAATAGGCATCTGGCATCGAGTTCTTATCTCCCCCTACTATCTGCCAGTAGCTGATGAGCTCCGAACACCGACCTCTGAAACATAACCATCACGGAGCTGCTACAAGTTCTTATCACAGACAATATATTTGTCTGGCTCTACCAAACTGTAGGCCAAAATGCCAATATCTGGGCAGTGATACCTTTACAAACTGGTCATGAATAATTACAAGGAAACCTAAGTTAATAACACAAGAATTCATCTTAGTTGAGTGTTCAGTTACAAATTCAATTTAGCGCAGATAAATCTACATGTAACCTAGCGCTACATTGAAAACACAGCATGTTTACCTGTTAATTGTCTTCTTTGATATGATAACATGTTACTTTAGGCCATAATAGATTAGTTTGTAGGTATTTATATCCCACACATTTAAAACTAATACACCATCGAACCCATTGTCTTGAACTCGGGATGTGTCGAATCCCCCGTTATGATGAACCTACAGTCTGGTCCTGGTAAATTTGTACTATCCGTGCCACCATATTTCACCTGGATATGTCACACTGGATATGTCACACTGGATATGTTGCCTCGAAATCAATTTGTTACTATCGGCATGGACCCTAAATATAGATTAAGTGTCCATGCTATCGGTAAGTCCCAGCAGTTAGAAATATCATAAACTTAAAAAGTCAAATTCAATATACTTTCAACACAAAACGTAGCAAAAGTAAAAAATCGTACAATTTATACAAATGCATTTCGACGAATAAATGTAGATATGATAAAAGCTTCTTATAATAGATGTATTCCATGTAACATGCATGATGTGGAATGTTTGTTGACTGACGGTATTAAGGTCAAGACAGATGTGCTGAATCTTGAATAAATAGAACTATTTATCAGGTCCTGAGGAATTTGAGATGACAGTATTTGGCTATATAAAAAATAAAATGTCTCAAACCATTTCTAAAACCTGGATGAAAATCTATAACCTGATTAATCAATTTGATGTGGCTAAGCCAAATAACTAGTCTTGTGTTTAACTAATTCAGGCAGAGGCAATGCTGATACTAGTGAACATTGAACCAAAGCATAACTCACTTTGCATAGAGTCTCTGGAACACACACAGGTCGAGGATGCAGGACTTGAGCATCTCCTTGTCTCCTGTCAGCTTGATGAGCCAGGGCAGCTCATCACACACGCGGCACGTCACCTTCCCCGGACTGAAACATGACCAGGTTACCAGGCTTTGCCAGGAATAATCAACTACTGTATTCACCACTGCACAATACTTCACGGGTTGTACACATACTGTAAATACCTCAAGAAATGTATACACTATCAGTCTTTGAATGGCATTTAGAAGTGATACACTTTAGAAGTGAGTGAGTCAGTGGGTGAGCATGGTTTTACGCCGCTTTTAGCAATATTCCAGCAATATCACGGCAGGGACACCAGAAATGGGCTTCACACATTGTACCCATGTCGGGAATCAAACCCGGGTCTTCGGCGTGACGAGCGAACCCCTAACCTCTAGGCTACCCGACCGCCCCCACTTTAGAAGTGAGAACTTTCTCTATGTTATTTTTAACCACCAAATCATGCAAAATGCCTGGTTCCAGCAAGAAGGAGCCATCCAGTCCTCAGACAGGTGAGTGCTCAGATTACATCGCACAAATAGCAACATTTCTCCTGCAGCAAGAGTCTACGCCGTGCAGGCTCTACTCTACACATTGATTCAAGATCAGGCAACGGTCGGGTTTACAAAAATCATGCACAGAGTTGGGCTCATTTGATCTCTGTTACTTTTACACAGCCTCACTGCAGTGCTTGACTTAAGAAAGACTTGGTCCCGACTACATCGGTCACATGGCCACATGGGGAATGGAGGACGGGTCGTGTATACAACCCATGAAGAATTGATGATGCTCTGAACATAGGGATACAGTATTCAAACAGCACAAACATCAAATGTAATAATTATTTATTGAAATTAATTTCCTGGTGCAAAAGACAATTAGTTTTGTTTATTATCCCGTGATAATAAGGTTATTATCCCGTGAATAATTACAGTGCTTTTAAGACACTGATCACAATTGCCAAAGAAACTCTAAGGCTTATATCCTAGTTTCCTGACGTGAATGAGTACTTAAGTTTCTCAAACAACAAATGGATAAAATATAAAATAGTTTCTTGGTTGTACATGAAGTAAGCTTTTATATCCTGTCTAATAAGAGGAGCACAAAGCAAAGATTTACAGTCAAAGAGTGGGAATAACTCACTGTAAAAAGTTTGTGAAATATTCCACCAATTCTTGTTGTGTGGCCTCGAAACTGACGTCAACATTGTCTTTACCAAAACAGTAGTCAAAAACTGCTTGTCTGACCTGCAAGTAGCATGAAAAATGTTTACACAACATCCAGTTAATGTAACTTATATTGTCTTCCAGTGCTGAAGAAACAAAACACACTTTTAATTGGCTGCTTTTCCTTACAGGGCAATGTCTTATAACCAAGATTATTCTCCTCCTGTCCTGCTTTCAGTTTCATCAGTTAGATTTGCAAAGTTAGAGCACACCAGGTACCTGCTCATGGGCAAACGTGAGGAGTCCTGAGTGGTACTTGATGAGGAGGTGTGACGAGAAAGCCTCGTAGAACTGTGCCAGCAGGTTCCACGTCAAGTTGGGGATCAGACGAAATAGTTCCTCCTCCCTCATCCCACACCGACTGGCACACAGGTAGCAGAGGATCTGAAACACAGGTAGCACAGGATCTGAAACACAGCTAGCACAGGATCTGAAACACAGGAAGCACAGGATCTGAAACACAGCTATCACAGGAACTAAAACACTGCGAAGCAAAGGTTCTGAAACACGGGTAGGAGAGGATCTGAAACACAGGTAGCACAGGATCTGAAACACGGGAAGCACAGGATCAGAAACACGGGTAGCAGAGGATCTGAAGCACAGGATCTGAAACACGGGTAGCAGAGGATCTGAAACACAGGATCAGAAACTCAGGTAGCACAGGATCTAAAACAGAGGCAGCACAGGATCTGAACACAGGTAGGACAGGATCTGACACACATAGCACAGAATTCAAAACCCAGAATCTGAAACACAGCTCATAGCACATGATCTGAAACACTGGCAGCACAGGATCTGAAACACAGCTAGCAAAGGATCTGAAACACAGGCAGCATGGGATCTGAAACACAGGCAGCATGGGGTCAGAAACACTGGATCAAAAACAGGCAGCACAGGATCTGAAATAGGATCTGAAACACAGGTAGCACAGGATCCTAAACACAGGTAGCACAGGATCCTAAACACAGGCAGCACATGATCTGACACAGATAGCACAGGATCCTAAACACAGGTAGCACAGGATCCTAAACACAAGTAGCAAAGGATCTGAAGCAGGATCTGAAACACAGGCAGCACAGGATGTGAAACAGGTTCAGACACAGGTAGCACAGGATCAGAAATATAGGTAGCACAGGATCTGAAACAGGTAGCACAGAATCAGAAACACAGAATCTGAAACATATGAAACACAGGATCTGAAACACATGAAGCACAGGATCTGACACAGGTAGCACAGGATCAAAAACAGGATCTGAAACACAGGCAGCACATGATCTGAAACACAGGTTCTGACACAGGTAACACAGGATCAGAAACACAGGTAGCACAGGATCTGAAACACATGTAACTCAGGATCTGACACGGGTAGCACAGGATCTGAAACACAGGTAGCACAGGATCTGAAACACATGTAACACAGCATCTGACACGGGTAGCACAGGATCTGAAACACAGGTAGCACAGGATCTGAAACACATGTAGCACAGGATCTGAAACACATGTAGCACAGGATCTGACACAGGTAGCACAGAATCAGAAACACAGAATCTGAAACATATGAAACACAGGATCTGAAACACATGAAGCACAGGATCTGAAACACATGTAGCACAGGATCCGAAACACATGTAGCACAGGATCCTACAGAGGTAGCACAGAATCAGAAACACAGGATCTGAAATATATGAAGCACAGGATCTGAAACACAGGTGGAGTTCACTTTGTGAAACAACATGTTTTATGTCATGAGCTTAAGCTTCACTTGTCACTGGACAAAACTGATTGTCAATGCTCCTGCTCCTGTGAACTCACCTGCCTCATGTAGCCCCTGGTGTCATCAGTTTCATACTCTGCCCGCAGGATGTCTATGATGACGAGGTACAGGTCCTCACAGTCCACTGTGGTCAGCAGGCTGTCCAGGCTGCCTCGAAGTTTGTCTTCATGCTGGCAGAAACTGAAACAAACAATAAACCATCCGTGAAACTAATTTGTCAACAAACCATCCGTGAAATGAGAGCTATCTGCAGCATGGAAAGATGAGATATCAAGGTTGAAATATGAAACAATAAAATGTGAATCAGCCAATTAATGTGAAAAAAATAAATGTGAATCAAGTGTGCAATGTGAAACGATGAAATGTGAATCAGGAATAAAATGTGAAACAATGAAATGTGAACATGGTGAATCAGAAATAAAATGTGAAACAATTAAATGTGAATCAGAAATAAAACGTGAAACAATGAAATGCGAATCGAAAATGATATGAATGGATTGGCTATGGAAATAAACTGACAACATATAACAGACTTCTGATATATCCGTACTTGTACCATTGTCAATACTACACAGGTTTGCATACACTGACAGTATGTTCATCCATCACCCATGAACACACATGACCGCTCTGTTGACCAGTAGTGCCATGTGTCAGCTCATGAAATTAAGCCATGTACGAGTCACAGAAGCCAAATCAGCCAAATCAGTTTGTGCCAACCGTAAACAAGCAGTGTGTAAAAAGCAAGAAACACAGTCACTTGTGCATTGTTAACTGAGCACTCATTCATCCCAGTACTTGATGGCTTCTCCCTCGCTGGAACCAGGTAATGTCTTGGGTTGTTGCTTAAACATAGCAAGGTAGTCCTAAGTAGGTGGAGGAACACAGAACATACAAACCTTTGAAGTGTTGATGATAGGGCTGGGATGAGTCAAAATCTACCACCCGTGTACTCACTCAACCCCCTTTTGACCTGACCCTACCATGGTACCCGCTGTAGGTCTCGAGGTGGCTTGGGGCACGGGTGGCCCAGTCTCTAAGGCGCCGCAATTCGCTGTGCAGAGTTGTGTCCCTTGGGCACACCAGAAACCTATGATTGTGGGTTCGAATCCCGGTTCACCCAAATTATGTTTCTAGACCCACATCACTTCGGGCTTTCCTCCCACATTAAGCTGACACACTGCGATATAACTGGAATACTGTTAAAAGCGGCGTTTAACCCAACTCACTCACTCAAGAGTTGGCTAGAAAATGTCCGATCGGGAATTGTTTTACCGGAGTCCTGGCAAAAACTATTTACATATTCATAGAAAATGATCTGATCATGAATACACTGAAGCTGACTGAAGCCATGATATAACTGGAATACTGTTAAAAATGGCATATAACCATACTCACTCACTCACTTGGTCTACAGTAATGCAGTCAGGATAATGGGTTTGAATGTTTCACACTGTAGTGTTTTTTTCCATCTAAATAATCTTTAAAATGCAGGAATGAATTGAGACACTGTCTGTCTCATCTTGCTGGGGTGGATATTACATGAAGATGTATGTTTCCACAGAACTGCTGTATGTAATCATACAATGTCTCTGCCTACAGGAAAAAACAACTGAACCTGCCCCTCAAGTGTGTTGTGTCCTACTACCGCTATAGTTCTACTAAAATCTTTTTTAAGTCAAGCAATCTCGGCTATTATAAGTCCATATATATACAGCAAACTATGGTTATAACAAACTCAAAGGGACCACTCATTTTAGTTAGTCATAACCGTAGTACTTTTAAGCATATTTGCAGCAAATGGTCAGGAAAAAACCAAACAGTTTGTTATTCAATCTCATTAAATTCAGATCTTAGTTCTTGCTATTGCTAAACAAAGATCTGAGGACATCCCATTACGGGTCACGTCACAACGACCTTTCATCCGACCAATCAGAGCATCGCTTACCAGATCATGAAAGTGACAGTCGGAATGTAATTTCTAATCATGCAACCTCGTAAACCCTAACACAGGGTATTCTGAACGATAGTTACGGGCTTAACGACTGAATCCATACAATCCAGAACATCTATTAGCCATTCCAGAATGTTCGTTTGTTCAGGTTTCACATTTTTAAACGAGAATTTGTCAAAATTTGTTTCGAAGCGTAGTCACCAATTTGAAATAAGTGCCGTAAAGCACGAGAAAGCTACCTTCTGATTGGCCAATGTCGACTTCTTGTCAGTCAATCCACTGGTCGGTCAAAGTTTGCGCAAGGTCGGTCTGACATGACCCGTAATGGGATGTCCTCAGATCGAGAACTAAGATCTGATTTTAATGAGATTGTTTGTTACTATCATGATTATAAGCATGTTCATCATAAATGAAGCTAAATGTGTGTGTTGAGATTAAAATCTGTTGAAAATGTAAGTTAAACATTCTTTACACACAAACGATTCTGGTGTCACTCTTTTAATTCCTTTTTCTCACTGGAATTTGAATCCTAATGAATTACAGGATCAACTTTCTCACCTGATATCGTGTTGATCATTTAGTCATTATAAACAACCAATTAATCTGTTCAAATTATAATGTGAATTTCATACTTCCAAAAACATTTTCATTTTCAAAACAAATGAATTCTTAATTCAATTCAACATACTTAACGATCATAAAAACAAAACGGTTAATGAAACAGTCTTGCAATGAATCTGTAGCCCATGCTGAACTCATGTGGATTGTTGCGAGGGTCGTAATTTGTAGCTCACCTGGCTATGTGTCTGGCTAGCACCATGACATACAGTGGACAGCAAGTGGATGGTGTCCGGCAGTGTGTCAGTATCTTGGACTCAAACTCAGGGCTTACAAAGGCATCCAGCGTGGCCACCTCCGCACGTATCAACTCCTTCACATTCTTGTTTGTTAAAGATTCTACACACAGTGTCGGCCACGATCTGGACAAACATAAAATGCCAAAATTTCAAACATAATTTCCAGAGTAAGCATGTGTCCGACGCCGTGATATTGCTGGAATATTGCTAAAAGCGGTGTAAAACTATACTCACTCACTCACTCCAGAGTAAGCAAAATTCCACTCATGTACTACACAAGCTTAGCTATTCCTTACTAAAGGTACTTACCTTACTAAAATACTATTTACACTACAAGGCAGTAAGTCGTGTATCCTACCATATCCACCATAAACCAAATTGTTCTAGGTTTCTTTATTCGCAATAATCTGTCCATATACAGAAACATAACTTTGAATAATTTCATATTTGTGCCCTGAGCAAGTTAAAACGAAAATTAGGTGAGTGGATAAGAACAATATTACACTCCACAAATGAAGTTTTGGGAGATGTCTAAAACACTTACTGCAGTATTACCTTCAGATCAGTGTACATCAGGTCACTTAACACAAACCTTTCATTAATGAGTGACCAACAAGTACGTCAGGCTCTTACCGACCCTTCCTAAGTGCTTGTCCCTGTTTCACTCCCAAGGAATGAGTAAGTGAGTTCTTAGCATTATTTCAGTAATATCACAGGGACACACCAGAAATGTGGTGACACCAGAAATGGGCTTCACACATTAAGACCATGTGGGGAATTGAACCCAGCCTTCATCAAAAGCTTTAACTACAAGGCTACCCCTACACCCAACTCCCAAAGAAGCAAAATCATGGAAAGTCTGTTATAAAGAAATCACACCAACAGGATCTCATCCAGCATGAGTGTCCCTTATTTCATGGTGTTCCACAGACTGTCTACTGTATCATGACCCTCCCCCTGAACCAGTCATGTGTTTGGCAACCTTTGGATGTTACATACCTCCATGTCTGTAGACAGGTGTCCTCATGACATGACACGATCACCCGGGCATCCACCGGGAGAGGGTCCAGCAGCCATTTCAAGTGAACATCTACTTGCTGAAAACACATCATCATCATCATCATCATCATCATCATCAT